GAAAGATGGGAGCGAAAGCGTCTACTATTGAGGCTGACGTGGAAGGTAAAAAAAAAAAAAAAAAAAAAAAAAAAAAAAAAAACATAGAGGCGGACACATACGCACACGCACACAATGTTTAAATAAGTACTTACATACACCTTGCAAGCAGAGACACACGCATACACACAAACACACATATATAGACCAATATGTGTGTGCGTGTGCGTGCATGTGCATGTGTGCGTTTATGTATGTAATAATGATAATGAAACAACAAAACAATAAGAAAAACTATAGGTGAAATATAAGCACTATAACTAATGATAGCAATGAGAATGCATGTTAATAAATAAAACCAATCAGAAGAAAATAATAACTATTGGTATATTTCAGTAACAATATTTTTTCTTTCCTTCAAAACTGATCATTCATAACCTCCCTAAAATATAATTTTAACTTGAAATAATTCAGTAAGTATATTTTCTGATGTAAAACTTACTCAAGAAATAAATCAATCAATCCAAGTTGATGTCATAGGTAAAATGAAATTAATAAAATTAATAAAAAAAAAAAAAGGCCCACACCACTTACAAATACTAATTAAAAATTATACTCATTTGCAGAGAAGGAGCCTTTTACGGATGACCCGGAAGTAGTAGAGTATGTAGTTAATTAGCTCATTTACATATTCATTCCACTGTGTCTCTATGAAATGATTTATTATTTTCATAAATTCATGCATATTTTTTGTTTTAATAAAAAATGGCGGTTTACATATGTATTTCACTCTTTCTCTATCAAATTATTTAATGTTATAAGAATTATGTTTATTTTTTTCATAGTTTTGTTATTTACATATATATACCACTGTTTCTCTACCAGATCATTTATCATTTTCTATTTCATGTCTATTTTTATGATTTTGCTATTTACATATTTACGTCAATGTTTTTCTATGAAGTGATTTATTATTTATATAGTTTTCATGCATATTTTCATAATTTTGTTATTTACATATTTACACAATTGTTTTCTATCAAATAACATCATTTCTATAAGTCTATTTCTATGATTTTACTATTTACATATTTACTTTACTCTTTCTATATGAAATAATTTACTAAGTCTTTTGTATTATTCTAATTTTGTTATTTACATATATTGCTTATACTGTTTTTCTTTTCGATCAATATCTTATTTTATTATTATTATTATTTCTTATAATTTGTCATCATTATTCAATTCCATGTTATTATTTTTTTAAATTTAAGTTGTCATCATTGTTCAATTTTATTTTATTATTGTTTTTTTTCACTTATTATTATTTATTTAATTTGTCATCATTATTCAATTTCATTTTATTATTTTTTTTATTTGTCATTATTATTCATCATTTTCATTTTAGATCAGATGGATTCGCGAGGTCCAGATCCTGTCGTGTGAGCATGTTGAGCGAAAGTCTACGGGTTCAGAGCGATCTTTCTCATTCCATTCATCAGGTAAAATCTTTGTTTTTTTTGTTTGTGTTCATTCTTTTTTCTTTTTTCTTCGTGTGTAATAATAAATTGGTTTATTTAGGTCCCGTTGAAGATTTATGAAAGGTTGGACGATAAGATAAGATAAGGAGATTTATGAATGAGTTTTGGAGGAGAGAGGTATCTTAATTTGGTATTTCTGATTTTATATTTTCCTTTGTCTTTTTATCTTTATTTCTCTTCTCCATCTGTCTTTTTCTCTTGCTCTTTATCTTGTTATTTCTCTTTCATGTGACTAATTAGTTGCTATTCCGGAAAGAGAGAGAGAGAGAGAGAGAGAGAGAGAGAGAGAGAGAGAGAGAGAGAGAGAGAGAGAGAGAGAGAGAGAGAGAGAGAGAGAGAGAGAGAGAGAGAGAGAAAGAAAGAGAAAGAGAGAATAAAGATAAAACAAACAGGAAGAAGAAGACGAGAGAGAGAGAGAGAGAGAGAGAGAGAGAGGAAGAGAGAGAGAAAGAGACAGAGAGAAGGAAGAGAGAGAGAGAAAGAGAGACCAAAACAAAAACAAAAAAACAAAAAACAAACAAATAGTAACTAAAACATCCTTCTCCCCCTCCTCCCTCCCTCCTTCCCCCTCCCTCCCTCTCCCCCCCCCACCTCCCACCTCCCCCCCCCCCAGCTGGCAGAAATGGGGAACACAGAAGTCATCCAACTGAAAGTGCAGAACCAAGAGAACGTGGACCTGCTCAACTCAGACCAGCTGGCACCCTTGCACTATGCCACGCGCTACAACCAGGTCAATACCGTCAAACTCCTTCTCGAGAATGGGGCAGAGGTCAATGTCAAAGGGTTGGATGACCTCACGCCGTTGCACTTTGCTGCTAGGTGAGTTGTTGTTGTTGTTGAGTCGTGTGTTTGTGTGTCTTTTTTTATTGATTTTGTTTTGTTATTATTTTTTTGGTTTTATTTATTTTTCATTCGTTTATTGTATTTACTTTTTATTATTTGTCTTTATTTATTTTTCATTTGTTTTTTATTCGTTTATTTTTTTACTTTATATTTTCTTTATTTGTTCTTTATTATTATTATTATTTTTTATTCTTTTATTTTTCTATTTTTTTTAGATAGTTTTATGCTTGTTGTTTAGTTTGTGGTTTTCATGATTTTTTTGTTTATCTATTTATCTATCCTTTGTTTTTTCACGTTTAGAATAACGATTTATTAATGCAAATTATGATTTTTTTTTTTTTTTTCCTTCGTTGCCAGGTGAGTTAATTTTGAATGGTTTTCATGCTTGTGATAAATGATTTACTGGTGACCTTATGACTTTGCCTTTATTCTCTCTTTTGTTTTATTGTTCTCTCTTTCATACGTCATTTTTTCTCTTTACATACGCTTTTCTCGTTTGTTTTATTGTTTTCTCTTTCCATTCGTCATTATCTGTTATCCATCTCCGATTTGACAGAATTTAGTTTATTCATGATATCTAAGTTATTTTTGTTATTAAGATAAGGAGATTTATGAATGAGTTTTGAAGGAGAGAAATATCATGATTTGTTATTTATGATTTTATATAATTTTCTTTTATTTTTTCTCTTCTCTTTCTTTTTTTCTTTTGAGAGAGATAGAGAGAGAGACAGACAGACAGACAGACAGAGAGATAGATAGATAGATAGATAAAGATTTACAGAGAGCTAAATAAAATCATTCTTTATTCACGAAGAATGAAGCCACGGCAGACCAAAGCCAAGCCAGAATCACCTCCACTTGAAGACAGCCAAGTCGAAAGCGGTGAGTTTCAATAGAGGCGTATTTTCGCGAGCAAGCTTGAAACACTATCTTGCCTCGGAGGAAGAACAGTGACTACATATTACTTGTTCATTTATTACTGTTGTTTTTATTCTTGATATGTATTTTCTCTTTCATTCTTTCTCTTTCTCTTTCTGCTTTTTTTTCTCTCTCTCATTTTCTTTTTCTCTTTCTCTTTCTGCCTTTTTTTCTCTCTCATTTTTCTTTTCTCTTTCTCTTTCTGTCTTTTTTCTTTCTCTCATTTCTTTTTCTCTTCCTCTTTCTGCCTTTTTTCTCTGTCTATTCTTTCGTTTCTCTTTCCCTTTCTGCCTTTTTTTCTCTTTCATTTTCTTTTTCTCTTTCTCTCTGCCTTTTTCTCTCTCTTATCTTTTTTTTTCTTTCTCTTTCTGCCTTTTCTCTCTTCATTTTCTTTTTCTCTTCTCTTTTGCCTTTTTTCTCTCTTATTCTCGTTTCTTTCTCTTCTTTTTTTCTCTCTTTCATTTTCTTTTTCTCTTTCTCTTTCTGCCTTTTTTTCTCTCTTATTCTTTCTTTTTCTCTTCTCTTTCTGTCTTTTTTCTCTCTTATTCTTTCTTTTTCTCTTTCTCTTTCTGCCTTTTTTCTCACTCTCATTTTATATTTTTCTTTCTGCCTTTTTTCTCTCTTGCATTCTCTCTTTTTCTTTCTCTTTCTGACTTTTTCTCTCTCTCATTTTCTTTTTCTCTTTCTCTTTCTGCCTTTTTTTCTCTCTCTCCCATTCTCCTCAAATGTTTTTTTTAATGACATTAAGATATTTTTGAGTTGGTTATTCTTACAAAAAAAACGAGATATCATTCGTTTGGCAAAAAAAGACAAAATGAGTAAAGTGGGAAAAATTATCATAATGGTAATTATGATAAAAAATAGTTTGATGATAATAATGATGATGATAATGATGATAATAATAATGATAATGATTATGATAATGATGATTATCAAGATGATGGTAATGAAAATGAGAATGAGACTGATAATAATAATTGCAAAAACAGTGCTAATAATTGCACTAATAATGATAATAACAATAATGATAAAAGTAATAATACTAATAACAGAAACAACAAAGAAATCAATAATAATTATGATAATGATAATGTGAGGATAATAGTGATAATGACAATACATCATCAATAATAATAACAATAATAACAGATGATTATAATAACAACAACAGCAACAACCCCCCCTACAACCTCCCTCAGGAACTCCGCCCGACGCCCCACAAGCTTCCACGCCCACCACGCCCACCACGCCCTCAGAGTCCACCGAGGAGTCCATGGTGCGTCTCCTGGCGAAGCACGGCGCCCTCCTGGATGCTCAGGACAAGTACGGACAGACGCCCCTGCACTTCGCTTCCATGACGGGCAACCTGGCGGCGGCGAGGGACCTCATCCGGTGCGGGGCGGTGGGGAGGTGAGGAGGGGGCGGGGGGGGGGGGGGTGGGGGTGGGGTGGGTATATACATATATATGTGCATGTATACCTATGCATACATACATATATGCATGCATTCATACGTGCATACATTCATTTACACATGCACACACACACACACACACACACACACACACACACACACACACACACACACACACACACACACACACACACACATCATTATCTACACCAACCACAATTATTACTACCCCCCCCCCCCAGATCGAGGACAACCAGCAGATGACGCCCATCATCGTCGCAGCCACGTACGGATACACAGACATCGTTCGTTTACTTCTCATCCAAGCCAAAGCCAACATCAGACAAGCGGACTCATCCAAACAAAACGCTTTGCATCGAGCAGCAAAAGGAGGACATTTGGTAAAATATCTATCGTCTCAAATTATCGTATCATTTCATATGATCCCCAAATCCCAATATAATTCCCAATAAATACAAAAAAGTAGAAGAATTAGAGAGATTATAAAAAACACCGAACTCGTCTCACCGCATTTGACTCGGGCTTCGTCTTCAGGAAATCGTGAAGATGATGATTCAGACCGCCAAGACGATGAAGAATTTCCAGAGCTTCTTAGACGCTCGAGACGCCAAGAAGAAGACCTCCTTGTACCATGCAGCGAGTAACGGCCATGCAGAGGTGGGTTATTACTCGGTTTTGCTTATTTATAGACAGATAAATAGATAGATAGAAAAATAGACAAATAGAAAGACAAATAGATAGATAAATGAAAATAGACAAACAGAAAGACAGGTAAATAAATAAAAATAGACAAATAGAAAGACAAATAAATAGATAAATGAAAATAAACAAATAGAATGATACATAAATAGATTAACTAAAATAGTCAAATAGACAGATAAATAGATAAGCGAAAACAGACAAATAGATAGACAGATAAAAAGATAAATTAGAATAGACAAATAGACAACTAGATAAATGAAAATAGTCAAATAGATAAATAGATAGAAAAATAGACAAATAGTCAAATAGATAAATAGATAGATAGAAAAATAGGCAAATAGTCAAATAGATAGACAGATAAATAGATAAACGAAAATAGACAGATAGGCAAATAGATAAACAAATAGATAGAATAATATATAAATAGATAGATAGACAGACAAATAGATAAACGAAAATAGACAAACAGACAGATAGATAAATAGACAAATGAAAACCCAGGTCGTGGCCTCGCTGCTCGCCGAAGGGGCGGACGTGGACGCCGACAACGTGACCTTGGCCACGCCCCTCCACGCCGCCGCCAGCGTCGGGAATGTGCTGGTGATCTCCATGCTGCTGGTGAGGGAAGGGGGGGGAGGAGGAGAGCTGGAAGGGTGAGGAGGGGAAGGTGAGGAAAAGGGGGATGAGGGGAAGGAAGGGTAGGGGAAAGGGGGGAGGGGTGGGGGAGGAGGAAGGGGGAAGTGGGAGAATGGAGGGAAAGGGGTGGGGAGGAGGGTAGGGAGGAGGAGGATAGAAGGGGGTGGGGAGGAATGGGAGGAGGAAGGGTGGGGGAAGGGGGAGGATAGAAGGGCTAGGAGGTAGGGTGGTTAGGAAGGGAGGGGGTGGGTAGAGGGAAGGGAGAGGGGGTTGGGAGAGGATGGGAGAGGGAGGGAGGGTAGTGGGAGGAGAAAAGGTAGGGAAAGGGAAAGGAAGGTAGGATGGGGTAGGGATGGGAAGAGGGAGGGGAGTAGGGGGTAGAAGGGAAAGGGAAAGGAGGAGGAAGGGTTAATCTTCTTGTTATAGGGAGAATTATCAATAAAGTTACGGAGATGGTAGAAGTAATTTTTAGCAATAACAAAATGACAAACAGTAACAATAAAATCACCTTAATCAGCAAGTAATCTAAATGACCCCCCAAAAAAAACAAATAAAAAGAAATTAAATAATGATAATAATAATATCAACAATGATAATAATAATAATAATAATAATAATAATAATAATAATAATGATAATAATAATAATAATAATAATAATAATAATAATATCAACAACAACAATAATAATAATAATAATAGTAATAATAAATAATAATATGAAATATAATATATAATGATAATTAATAATAATAATAATGATGATAATATAATTAAGATAACCTTCATAATAACAACAATAAAATACATCAACCAAGAAAAAAACACAACAACAAACCAACTCACGCCCTTTCCTTCCTTCACTCTACACCCTCCTCCCCCACAACACCACCCTTCACGCCCACCACGCCCACGCAGTACAACGCCCAACTCGACGCCACAGACCTCTACCAGCGCACGCCCTTGATGTACTCTGCGGGCGGCGACCACACCGAGGCCATCGCGACGTTGGTGTCCAGGGGTGCCAGTATGGATGCCAGGGACCTGTGAGTGCCACCGATATGTTTGTTTGGGTGTATCTGTTTATATATGTCAGTTTGTCTGTCTGTCAGTCAGTCAGTCTGTCAATCAGTCTGTCTATCTATTAGTCTATCTATCAGTCAATCAGTCTGTCTATCTATTAGTCTATCTATCAGTCAATCAGTCTATTTATCAGGCTATTTCTCTATCTATCTATCTATCTATCTATCTATCTATCTATCCATCTATCAATCAGTCTATATATCTATCTATCAGCCAGTCAGTCAGCCTCTCTATCTATCCATCTATCTATATATCTATCTATCTATCAGTCAATAAATCAATCAATCAATCTATATAACTATCCATCCATCAATCTATCTATATGTCCATTTATCTATCCATTGATATATACCACCAATAATAAAAATGAAGAATATAACCTCCTCTCCCCCCCCCCCCCACCACCACCACAGGAACCGCTCGACTCCCCTGCTGATCGCGGCGCAGAGCGGGCACGCGGCGGCCGTGCAGGCACTCCTCGACCTGGGTGCCAACGAGAGGGCCATGGACAAGCTGGACAAGACGGCCCTCTACCTCAGCGCCGAGCATGGCAAGCTGGAGGCACTGCAGGTGGGTTTAAGGCCCGTACTTTTAAAACCTTTCGCTAATGCTGGCGATCATGTGAGTGAGCGATCGCCGGGCCTGGCGAGCGAAAGGGCTCGCCAGGCGCTAACATCTTGCATTCCTGCTCAGTTTAGCGCAGCGGCGACTGAAAAAACGCGGGAAACGCAAATTTGTTTGTATCTGCAGTGCGTTATATAACCATATACAGTAAAATTTATATTATTAGACTTAGCAGTTTTTTTTTTTTTTTTTATATTATATTACTTTGCCGTACCTTACCTATATCATATTACCTTACCTTATCTAACATAACCTAAGCTTGATCATTAACGATAATGTAATGTAATAGCCTCACTGTATACAAAGGAGCTAAAATTAATCATTTTACTATACCTAACCGATATAAAATAGTGAACTGTAGGGCCACAAGGGTTAGGTTAGGTTAGACACGCCTCATTATAGAGCGGTGGAGTACTACAGCTATGTTTCTATAGCCCGTGGTAAACATGCAATCATCGAAACACTTTTGGTAACATTTGTGAAAAGAAAATGATCCCTGCAACCAAAATAACAACAACTTAAATCTAAATAAGTCATCTCGGGGTGGGGTGGGTAGGGGGAGGAATACAGCTGATGCCTATTCTCGACTGAACATCGAGCTACGTATATACGATATTTCATAATAAATGGTGATTTTCAGATATTTTAAAATTACAATGTGATTCCTATATCATATTATACACAAATATGTTACTAATTTATAATCTGAAAGCAAGAAAAGGGTATTCAATCATGGAAAAGGGAGGGCTCTCGCGACTTTGCTCCGCCAGGCTGTTCCAATAAGATCGCCTGACGAACACTTGCCTTGCTCTTAACAGTACGAAACTCACGATCGCCCGGCCAAATCGAATGCCAACCCGGGCGAAAGGTTTGAAAAGTATGGGTCTAAGTGTCATCTCTTAGCTTTGCATATTTTTTTATTTGTTTTATCTCGCTGTATTTTGGTCTTCTCTATTATGCTCTATCGTGTCTTTTTATTTTCTTATCTATTTTCGAAAAACGAAAAACAAACAGAAAAAAAACGAAGAAAGACGAAAATCAAAGAGGAAAAAACGAAAAACAAACAGAAGAAAATGAAGAGAAAAAGAGAAAACGAAAAACTAAAAATAAAAATAAAAAGAAACAGAAAAAACGAAGAAAAAAAAGAACAGAAAAAAACAAGAAAATGAAAAACAAACCAAAAAAACGACAAACGAAGAAAAAAACGAAAAATAAACAGAAAAACGAGAGAAAGCGAAAAGCAAAAAGAAAAAACGAAAAACAGACCCCCCCAAAGAAAACAACAACTCAAAAACGAAAAAAAAAAACTCAAACCTTCCTCCCGCAGGTGCTGACGGAGAGCGAGCGAGGGCGCGACCTCCTGAACTTCCCCGACTGCTACGGGCGCCCCCCGCTGCACGTGGCGGTCTCCTGCGGCAACATGGCGGTGCTGGAGATGCTGCTGAAGGCGGGCGCTGAAGTCTACAAGAAGAATGAGGAACAGGACACCATACTGCACTTGGCGGCGAGGAAGGGCTATACTGGTAAGGGGGAAGGGAGGGAGGAAGGAAGGCGAGGAGGGAAGGAGGAAGCGGGAGGGAAGGGAGGGAACGGGGAGGGAAGGAAGGAAGGAGGGGGGGAGGGGAAAGGCTTTTGAAATTCATTTTTTATGATTTTGTTTTCGTTTTTTTTTTTTTGGGAGGGGGGGTGGAATGGTTTTTTTGTTTGCTTTTTTGGTGGGGGTGGATGGGGTCTTTGGTGATGGGTTTTCTTCTGTTTTCTTTTTGTGGTTGATTGCTGTCTGCCTCATGTTTTTGTCTTTTAAATTATTTTAGTTTCCTTTTGACTCCTTCGTCTCTCTTGTCTTCTTTTATGTGTCTTGTGTTCTTTGTCTGACTCTATTTTTTCAGTCTAGAATATGGAAAAAAAAAACAATACACAAACTAGATTTATTGAAATAAGTGAGACAACAGTTCCGGTTTTTCTCTCACTTATTTCAATAAATCTAGCATTGTGGGTTTTTCTACTATAGTATAATTTTAGAGTGTTTTTCCATTCAGTCTAGAATATCATAAAAGTAAATATTATGATGATGATGATAATGGTGATAATAGTGATAATATACGAGAAAGATTTCTCCTCTTTTGTGTTTTTCTTCATTCGCTCTTTGTGTTTCTTTACCTTTCTCTCTCTCTCTCTCTCTTCTCTCTCTCTCTCTCTCTCTCTCTCTCTCTCTCTCTCTCTCTCTCTCTCTCTCTCTCTCTCTCTCTCTCTCTCTCTCTCTCTCTCTCTCTCTCTCTCCTCTTCCCTCCTTCTCCTCTCTCCTCCCTTTTCCCTCTTCCTTCCCTCCCTCTTCTCCCTCATTCTCACTCTTCGATCTTCCTTCCCTCCTTCCACCCTCCCCCCTCTTCCTTCCTTCCCCTCATCTTCCACCCTCCCTCCCACTTCCCTCCCACCCTCCCCCTCCCTCCCTCCCTCCTCACCTCTCCCCCCCCTCACACACCCTCACCTTCCCCCCCCCCAATCCCTCCTTTTACAGCATCGTCCGCGAGCTCGTAGTGGAATGCCGGTCCATGCTGGACGCCGAAAACGAAGACTTGGACACGCCCCTTCACCTCGCCTGCAAATTCGGTCACGAGGAGGTGGTCAAGGTGCTGCTCGAATCAGGCTCCGACGTAGGTGACACCAACGCTGCCTGTGCCACGCCCTTGCACCTGGCAGCGGAGAAGGGCCACGCCGAATGTTGCAGGATGCTTCTGCAACACGGGGCGCATATTGATAGTTTTAATAAGGTGGGTTGTCTGTGATTTTTTATTATTATTTATTTTATTATTTTGATTTTGATTTGATGATTGATTGATTTGATTGATTCTTGTAATTCATTTCATTCTTTTTGTCTCCATCTATCTGTCCGTCTGTCTATTTCTCTCTTTCTTTGTCTCTCTTTTTCTACTCTCTCTCTCCCATCCTCCCATCCTCCCCCTCCTTCCTTCCCTCTCCACCCACCCTCCCTCTCACACCCTCCCTTCTTCCCTCACTCACTCTCCACCTTCCCTCTCCCCCTCCCTCCCTCTCACACCCTCCCTCCTTCCCTCCTCCACTCTCCACCCCCCTCCCTCCCTCCTTCCCTCTCCACCCCACTCTCACTCTCCCTCCCCTCCTTCCCCTCTCCCCTCCCTCCCCCCATCCACCCATCCTCCCTCCCTCACTCTCCCTCCCTCCCTCTCCCCCAACAGGACAACAAGACCCCCCTCCTTCTAGCGGTGTTGGGGAGCCACGTGGGGGTCACTCGCCTCCTGCTCGACCACGGGGCTTCCCTCAGGTCCCGAGATGCGACGGAGATGAACGCCCTTGAGATCGCCATCGAAAACGGGTTGAGGTGAGCTGTGGGGGGGGGTGGGGATGGGGGTGAGGGGTGGGAGGGGGTGGGAGGGGGAAGGGGGGAGGGGGGGGTGGGGGAAGGGGAGAGAGGATAGTGGGGGATGTAAGTGGGGGGGAAGGGGGAGGGGAAGGAAGGGTTTGGGTTGGGTGGGGGAAGAGGATGAAGGGGAGGGGGAGGGGGAGGGGGGAAGGGGTGGGGGGTTGGAGGGGAGGGGAGGAGGGAAGGGGAGGTGAAGATGGGGGTGATTGGAGGGAGTAAGATGGGTTGGGAAGGGGTTGGGGGATGGGGTGAGGGAGGAGGAGGGATGGGGATGGGGAAAGGATATGGGGGAAGGGGAGGATTGAGTGAGGAAGGGGTGGGGAATGGTTCATTGAGTGGATGTTGATAGATAAACTGATAGAAGGATAGATAAAAGCTAGATAGATAGATAATAGATAGACAGATAGATAGAGAGAGAGACAGAGAGAAGATAAAAAGATAATAAAGAAATAGCTAGACAATGGATGGATAACTGATAGATGATAGATAGAATGCTAGATATATTGATAGACTGATAGATACACAGACAAACAGATAGACAGATAGAGAGATGGATAGATAGATAGATAGTAGAGAGATAGAAAATAGATAGATAGATAGATAAGTGAAAATGAAGGACTGAGCAAAATAGATAAATGTAGAGAGATGGATGGAAAAACGAAGTAAATAAGAGATAGTGAACGGAGTTTTCTGTTGTTTTTTTTACCATTCCGGTGTCTGGTCTTTGTATGTCCCTGGTCTCTCTGTCTGTTTTGTCTCTCCTTCTGCCTGTCTGTCTTCCTGTTCTGCGTTTCTCTCTCTCTCTCTCTCTCTCTCTCTCTCTCTCTCTCTCTCTCTCTCTCTCTCTCTCTCTCTCTCTCTCTCTTCTCTCTCTCTCTCTGTGTCTCTCTCTCTCTCTCTCTCTCTCTCTCTCTCTCTCTCTCTCTCTCTCTCTCTCTCTCTCTCTCTCTCTCTCTCTCTCTCTCTCTCTCTCTCTCTCTCTCCTCCCCCCCCCCTCTCTCTTCCCTCCCCACCCTCCCCCACCTTCCCCCCTCCCACCCTTCCCCTCCCTCCCCCCAACACCCCCTCCCCCCACCCTCACCTCCCCTCTCCCTCCCCCTCCCCCCTTCCTCCCTCCCCCACCCTTCCCCCACCTCCCCCTACCCTCCCTCCCACCCTTCCTCCCTCCTCCCTCTCTCTATCCATCCCTCCCCATTCCCCCAGAGACGTGGTCCTCAGCATCCTCCGATCCCCAGCGTGGAAGAAGGCCTGAGGAAGGTGTACGAGGATCAGGACGGACACCGCTCCACGCCCTTCAGGAAACTCGTCGAGAAGATGCCTGAGGTCGCCGAGGAGGTGCTGGATAGGTAGGTGGGTGGAGGTGGGTGGTGGATGGGGGTGGGAAAGGTGGGTGGGTGGAGGTGGTGGGGTGGGGGTGGGTGGATGGGGGTGAGTGGAGGTGGGTGGGAGAGGTGGATGGGGGTGGGTGGAGTGGGTGTGTGTGGATGGGAGAGGTGGATGGGTGTGGATGGGGGAGTGGAGGGTGGGAGAGGTGGATGGGGTGGGTGGAGGTGGGTGGATGAGAAGAGGTGGATGGGGTGGATGTGGATGGATGTGAATGGGAGAGGTACATGCGAAAGTGGTGTTTTGGATGTGGATGGTGAATTTTTAATGGTAGTGGAGGTGGATGAGAGAACCGTTTTTTTTCTTTTTGTGGAGCTGGGTAAGAGGTGGAGGTGGATCTTTTGATGATGTTGAATGTGGATAGGAAAGGTAAGTTTATGATGTTGGAGATGGAATGTCATGGTGGATATTTAGGGATATTGCAAATCGAAGCCCTAGATACATTTTCAACTAACCCATATCCACTTTCTCTCTCTTCCTCTCTCCTTCTCTCTCTCTCTCCCTTCCTTCCCTCCGTCCCTCCTCCCTCCTTCCCTCCTTCCTTCTCTCCTTCCCTCCCTCCTTCCTCCCTCCTTCCTCCCTCCTCCCCTTCCTCTCCTTCCCTCCCTCCCTCCCTTCCCTCCACCCTCCCACCCCCCCCCTTTCCCTCCCCCCCACCCTCCTCCTCCTCCTCCTTCCTTCCCTCCCCTCCCCCTTCCCCCCCTCCATCCCCAAGATGCATCAAAACCTCCAAGGCGTCCCTCGACCCCAAAGAAACCCAAGAAGAGGTCAACTTTGAATTCCTCGACGACACCTACCAACTCCGCAGCGGTCCGTCCCAGTTCGACTCCCGCGGCAGACTGGTGTCGCACGCTCGTCCTTACACCACGAACGCCAGAGAGCTCACCAACAACCACCCGCTTATGCTCATGGTGGTGTACTTAAGGACGAACCTGCTGGCGCATCCCGTGTGTGTGCATCTCATCAAGCAGAAGTGGTATAATTATGGCAGGTAAGTGGTGTGATAATGGTAATGGTATGGGTATGGTAGGTGAGAGGTGGTATGATAATGGTAATGGTATGGCTGTGGCAGGTGAGAGGTGGTGTGATAATGTAATGCAGGTGAGAGGTGGTGTGATAATGGTAATGTATGGCTGTGGCAGGTGAGAGGTGGTGTGCTGTGGCAGGTGAGAGGTGGTATGATAATGGTAGAAGTGGTATGGGTGTAGCAGGTGAGAGGTGGTAGGTATGACTATGGTAGCGGTATGGTTATGGCAGGTGAGAGAGGGTGTGACTGTGGTAGTGGTATGGCTATGGTAGGTAAGAGAGGTGGTGTGATAATGGTAGTGGTATGGCTATGGTAGGTGAGAGGTGGTATGATAATGGTAGAAGTGGTATGGGTGTAGGAGGTGAGAGGTGGTAGGTATGACTAAGGTAGCGGTATGGTTATGGCAGGTGAGAGGTGGTGTGACTGTGGTAGTGGTATGGCTATGGTAGGTAAGAGAGGTGTACGACTATGGTAGTGGTGTGGTTATGGAAGGTAAAAAGAGGTGGTATGACTATGTAGTGGTATGGTTATGGATAATAGTGGTATGAATTTGGTAGTGGTGGTAGAAGTGGTACAGATGAGAGGTGGTATGGTAATAGTAGAAGTGGTATGGGTTATGGCAGAAGTGGTATGGTTATGAGAGAAGAGTATTGATAATGATAGAAGAGGTATGGCTATGGAAGGTAAGAGAGGTGGTATGACTATGGTAGTGGTGGTAGAAGTGGTATGGTTATAGCAGATGACAGGTGGTATGATAATGGTAGAAATGGTTTGGTTATGGCAGGTAAGAGAGGTGGTATGACTATGGTAGTGGTATGGCTATGGCAGGTGAGAGGTGATAATGGTAGAAATGGTTGGTTATGGCAGGTGAGAGAGGTGGTATGACTATGGTAGTGGTATGGTTATGGCAGGTGAGAGGTGGTATGATAATGGTAGAAGTGGTATGGTTATGGCAGGAGTAGCGGTATACATATGGTAGTAGTATGCATTACAGTGTCAAAAGTAGTATAACTATGACATGTAACTACAGCATAACAGACAAGAGAAATTATATAACTACAGTGGATTAAGTGGTATGACTAATAACAATTGAGAAAAGTGGTATGATATCTATGGTAGAAATAGTAAAAATAAAAGGTTTGATTTTGCCAGTTCAGTGAAATAGAATCACCATCAGTGTATCACAATAACGGTATAGAATGCGTCAATGTGTACCTACCTATGCTTATGTTATGCATAAAAAAAATTAATCTGAAATTTAGAAAACGTATTTTTGGGGTAGTTGGTCTGAGAACTGCAGCTATGACAGAAAATAAAAGGCAATGACTAGTATTATCAGAAAGAGATTTATTTATTTTATTTTCTATTATTATTATTATTTTTTTTTATTTAGTTGTGAGTAGCGACATCCTCGGAAAATTATCAGGCATA